TTTGAACACAACACAACTATTAAATACTATCATACTAGAAGCAAACSTGACTGGAAGCAGTTTACCTGTTGATCTATTACATCTTAAAGTAAGTTATGCAATTGAGATTAATGTATTGTACTAACCTCTCCTCCTCATTATCTGCATTGACTATCTCTTTAGCTTGCGGTGGTTGTATATCAGGTTGAAATAGATAGTTGATTGGTTTCTCGAATCTTGAGAATATTGGTGGGAATATATTTCTTGGCACATCCTTTTCCAGCACTTCCAGACCATCGACTTGTGATAAAGGGTAGTCCGAATCCTTGCTCAGATATTGATAGTCTGATAAGCAACTGAATCTACAATGACATTAAGATGCCTTTATCACTAGATTTTATCGAATATTAAACCAAATCTTGTACTACCTTACCTGTATGTTGTGTCCACAATACCAAGAACCTCTTGTTGATACTCGTTACCTTCCGTACTTTTCTTTTTCCGTCGCCTCACCCTTAACAGTAAACTTGAAGAAGGTTGTCGATCACCACACATGACTTTGGAATAAGGGTCTTGAGGACGTAATGTCATTGGAAGACGTCTTGTTTGGTTAGAAAAAACTTTATAAAGCTCTTCTTCGCCTCCAAGGCAATCTATCATGTGAGATGGATTCTGCACTAAGCCAGGAAACTCAACTGATATAAGCCTGGTTTTGTCATATCCTAATTTACTGTTGCAAATCAAAGGCACTTCTTCCTCAACATTGTCGGCCATTTTGAAATTCTCTTCCACAGGAATCCCATGATTTCTTTGACTCGGGATTCCTGTGCTCTTTAAGTTCCAATATGGCGGACGGAGTRCACATGGATCAAAAACCGCTAGTATTTAAAATCTTATCACAATGTTCTACTACCAAAGCTCGCACAGCTATATTATCACTTCCACATTATGCAGTAGAAACTCCGGTTTTCATGCCTGTTGGAACTCAAGGAACAATGAAGGGTTTGACGTGTAAACAGCTGGAAGATTTAGACTGTCAGATCATCCTAGGCAACACATATCATTTGGGGATGAGACCGGTGAGTTGTCATATAAACACAGGAACAAGCTTACATTTCTTTTATGTCATTTTACAACGAGTAGAGTTACTCAAACAAAATTGTGTCTAGTTGTAAGTGACACAATGAGGGCATATTTCCTAGGGAACAGACATTTTGGACAGAGCTGGTGGACTTCATGGATTCATGAACTGGAAAAGAGCTCTTTTAACAGTATGTATAGAGTGTCTGAAAATTGTAATATCGTATCACCAAATATTGCTGTATCATATTTTAAGGACAGCGGAGGGTTTCAAATGGTTTCTCTTATCAAGCTCTCTCAAGTCACTGAGGTATAAAYGAAAAWWWWTYATTTCTCTYTATGTGCGCCTTGTCTTTGAGCATTGTTTTTACAATTCATTTCCACCAGGAGGGAGTAAAATTCCAGTCACCTCATGATGGCAAAGAAATGTTACTCAGCCCTGAAAAGTCAATGGAGATCCAGAATTCCATAGGAGCAGACATTATGATGCAGCTAGATGATGTTATAAGTAGTACAACAACTGGACCCAGAGTTGAAGAAGCTATGTATAGATCTATAAGATGGCTTGATAGATGTATCAAAGCACACAAAAACACTCAAAAACAAAATTTATTTGCTATTATACAAGGGGGGCTTAATCCTGAACTGAGAAAGATATGTATAAAAGGTATGAATTTCCTGTATCCTTATACTTTTTGCTSTAATACAATTAGTATCTAATGTCATATTTATCTGTCTATTGTCGTTCATACAATGAAAATTATGTGAAATATATATATATGTTTTTTTTTCTCAAAAGAAATGGTAAAACGTGATACTCCTGGTATTGCTATTGGTGGGTTGAGTGGAGGAGAAGAAAAAGATAAGTTTTGGAGAACAGTTTCTTTATGCACTGATGATTTGCCTCGGGACAAGCCAAGATATGTCATGGGGGTAGGGTAAGAGATTTAGACATGAATCTTATGCTAATAAACAGTATAACAGATCAAAGACATTATTGTGAAAGTTTGTGATGGCTGCTCATAGTACAAAGAAGAGATGGAGCAAGGTGTTCCATTTGTGATATTATACATTTTTTTAGTTATGCTGTTGATTTAGTTGTGTGCTGTGCATTGGGCGCTGACATGTATGATTGCGTTTACCCTACCAGGACAGCGGTAAGTAAAGGTTGTTAAGTCAATCACCATTGGGAAATATTAAATAATAATTCATTGTTTAATTATTATTTTAGAGATTTGGTACAGCTTTAGTTCCATGGGGTCAACTACACCTCAAACAGAAACAGTATAGCGAAGACTTAAGGCCCATATGTAAAGACTGTAAATGCTTCACATGTCAGAACCATTCCAGGGCCTTTATTAATTCTATCATTGGAAAAGAACCTGTTGCATGTCATCTTATTACAATGCATAATATCCATTATCAGGTAATATGTCAACACTTTAAGCGATCGTACACTGTGTGTCTTTTATTTAAAAACATGAACATTTCTATTATTTCTAGATGCAATTGATGCGTGGCATAAGAGAAAGTATAAAACAGGATAAATTTCCACAGTTCATAAAGAACTTTATGGAATGTATGTTTCCAGACAAGATCTACCCAAYGTGGGTTGTAGATGCTCTCCGGTCAGTCAATGTAAACCTAGAAACATCAGATAACAAAGACAATAAAGAAGTGACATAACACCTGGCATTGTGTTTTAACTAAAAAAATATTTCATACTCAACTATTGACCATATATATATGATCATATATCTCTTGACTCAATAATGAGAAACGTCTTTAATATTGTTGGGGCGACTTTTAGCAACTTAAGTAACTACTCGAAAAGTCTCAAGAAATAAACGTCACAGGTGAACTAATAGTACAGATATGTGGAATATTCACGTTTGTCTCTTTTATGATGAACTTTTCCAAAAATTAAAAATATTGTAGGAAGTTACGTAAAATAATCATTCTCGCTCAATATCAAAAAAGCATAGTTTTTCAAGGCATATTATTGATTGCAAGAATTACTTTTTTAAACGTTCAATAAAAGGCGATTACGTCATCCGATACTCRAAAATCATCAAATTTTAACATCAAGGACAAATTAACTATGTTCTGGATGACGGTTCATGTTTTTCTCGACTGCTGAGATTTTYATCATATTTTATATTTTCTTWTTTCTTGGTTTGAATTTTACAAAGTTTTAKTYCTATCGACTGTGTTATGTCACTCGTTGCTTGGAATTCGTTGGATAAGACAATAGGTCATGGTTCAGTGCGCCCATGAGTGTAAATACTGTATATATCAAATTCATGAATTTAAATTTTATTGCTCGACGTGTAGCCGTTACGACGCATATGAAATTCGTCGCGATTTTATCCTTCCCATTCAAACATATGTAGTATAGTATGGAAAATGGTTCAGTTAAAGCTAAGGGTACGGTTAAGAGAAATCCAGAAGAACTTTTTAACAAGTTTGTAGAAGCTGAAGATTGTCCCGAAATCATACAGACTTTTCAACGGTTGGTGAATGCGATCGGGGTAGTTGCTGAAACTCCACGAGAGTTTTACAAAGGCTTAAAGAATAAACTACAGTCATGGAAGTGTAAAAGTTTGTGGGAACTGCTAGACAATCGGGCCAACCAAAAGGAATATTTAAAAGGAAATGTTTGTGAGGATATTCATGCTCTTGTAATAGGTTGCGGACCGATYGGTTTGAGAACTGCTATTGAATTGTCTCTACTTGGAGCGCAGGTAGTTATTGTAGAAAAGCGAAAGACATTTTCAAGAAATAATGTACTGCATTTGTGGCCTTTTCTTCTCACGGACTTCAGATCCTTGGGAGCKAAGAAGTTTTATGGCAAATTTTGCTCTGGTGCCATTGATCACATAAGTAAGTAAAGATTGTGTGTTATGCTGTTAGTTCTGTTTGAATAGCGATTTTACTGTTCCTCCGAGACCTTTGAATAACACCAAGTTACTTCGATCGCAACGCAAGTAATAGTCTGATTTTACTTATAATAATCAACTAATGGAACGATCAGAATTGATATTAAAGTRCGTTGCGAATTGTGTCGATTTCTCTGCTAAGTTTGTTGTTGTTAAGTTTGTTTAAAAGTCTCCAATCAAGTTTAACCTAGCTGTTTCTATATTATTTCCGACGATRATGACTCATTCAGTGTTGTTCAGGAGATTTGTGAGGCCGACCCTCCATGAGACCGATTAGTGCACAGATTTCTGGCCTGAARCGAAAACCAAAAACTTGTTTGAAATCTACAAGTTCGTCAAATTTCCACGTTTACTAATTGAAAATCAATTAAACATGTTTAGATAACAGATTTTAATTAGCTTCATTGCATGTACGATTCTATTTCGCCACTGATCATAAAATCAACGGTATTCCGCGTTCATTGATCAAGGAAATACTCCGAGTTGCATTTGCGTTATAAATAGTACTTTGCTTCGTCAGCTGAATTATTTCACAAGAGTCTTTTAATTGATCTAGTACATGTATGAATGGAATTAGAATCGATGTAATACAAGTTTTGATAGAATCCATAATATATGTAAGTATATTTTAAGAATTTTTTAAACCAATATAAGTTGTACATGTATAAATGTATATTATTTAATTTGCATAACTCGTCAACATTGTTCTTGTGTAAACTTTCCGACTATTGCTATCACAGAACATGTAAGAGGTATTACATTATGATATTATTGTTCTAAAAATATTTTTATGCTTTTTTTTATTGTTGATTTATTGACACGTTTTTGATATTATTTCATTTTAGCTGATCTTTATATTTATCAGCTTGTTACTTAACAATTGGATGATGATATGACTTGGATGAAATAAATTCATTGACGCATCTTGTTTGCTAGGCATTCGACGTCTTCAAGCCATTCTACTCAAAACAGCTTTAATACTTGGTGTCAAGGTTTTTACTGGCGTGACATTTGACAAGGTCATTGAACCAACCAATGAGGACGATGGATGGAAATGTCACGTCACGCCATTCAATGATGCACTAACAGACTATGAAGTTGACGTTGTTATTGGAGCGGATGGCAAGAAAAATGTTTTGCCGGAATTTGCGCAAATTGAAATGCGAGGTAAGAGACCCAATCAGGTTTGTGTGGTCAGTTAGCACGAGGTGAAAGGTGTGGTCGGATAGTACAAGGGGAAAGGTGACGAGGTCTGTGTTCTCTTTTTGTTACAGGTACCCTTGCCATTGGAATCACAGCCAACTTTGTCAACAACTCCACTGAGCAAGAAACAAAAGTGGAGGAGATCAGTGGAATCGCCTATCAGTTTAACCCTGGTTTCTTTGATAAATTAAAAAAGGAAAAAGGAATCCAWTTAGAAAACATCGTGTATTATAAAGATGAGACTCACTATTTCGTCATGACAGCCGTTAAGTCTAGCCTTCTGAAAAGAGGCGTCTTGAAAAAGGTAAAAGGTGATAGCTATGTACGCATAAACTTTGACTTCCTAGTCAATCACACATGGCTCAGTCCMTCTCTACATTGTAACGAAAAGGTCATATATTMAAAGAAAAGAATTTCATTTTTATTTTAATCCCATTACCAGGATTATGGTAATAAACCCCAAAAGCTGTTAAGTCAAGACAATGTGGACCAGGAAAAGCTAGTGTGTTATGTGAATGACGCTGTAAACTRYGCTACCAATGGACAACTTCACAACCATGAATTGAAACGAGACGATAAAGGAAAGGCAGACATAGCAGTGTTTGACTTTACATCCATCAAGAAAGCAGAGAACAGTGCCAGGATATTAGAGCGAAAAGGTCACAGACTACTACTTGCACTTGTAGGGGATAGCCTCCTTGAGGTATGTTTGTTTCCAATATGCTGTAGCAGAGCTACTGACAAAAAATTAGGACAGGAAAAGCTAATTTTSGTRTTTGATTTTTGAAGCCTTTCTGGCCAACTGGTTCTGGTTGTGCTCGTGGAGTTCTCAGTGCACTCGATGCAGCTTGGATGGTTCGTTCATTTGCACAAGATAAGCCTCCATTACAGATCCTCAGTGAGCGAGAGAAYATTTATCGTCTACTTTCTGGTACAAGTAATGAAAACATGCACAAGAACTATGCAGCATATACCATTAACCCTTCGTCCAGGTACACTCACATACCTCAGAAAAAGATCCAGGAAGTGTACCATCTGTATGATACAGATGACCCTGTCAATGCTGACTTCAGTCTTGGAAGTCCTACAGGAATATTGGCTGCTAAAGGTGCGACTAGGATTTTATTCACTAAGCTGAATTTTGTTTGTCTAGAATTTTATGCTTTTAGAATCGACTTCATAAACATAAAGAAGAAGAATTGTTCGACCATAGTRTTTCTTTATATTCCTGATTCTAAATTGTTAGTTGATTGATTGATTGGCTGTCAGAGTGATTGATTGATGTTCAATTGTATTTATTCTCTGTGCATAGGATCAAAAATGAGGCGTGTTAGCACGGCCATCAAGCCACATTATCGACCCAACAGAAAGCACATCAAGTTTACTGCTCATGCGTCTTTTGACTCTCAAGCGTTAAGCTCGTCTGGCTCCAGCTTGGAGGACCTTACTTCCCAATGGAATAGTAGGAAGCCGCTTAAAACTGACAGACAACAGTCCGTATCGGAGCCTTTGACTTCAGGTGGAGAAGAAGTTCATGAGATCACCAAAAAGAGTAAATGGGGTAAACGTCCAAAGAAAACTGCAAAGTCTCCCAAGTCACCATCGCATCATATAACGAAGYCATCTRCCAGTTCAGAAAAAGTGAAATCCAAGAAACCCAAAATGGCTGCAGATCGTACAGTATCCAGTCCAGCATCTGCCGTCGGACATTCCACTCACAAGCGTCGAAGTTTCTTTACRTTTGGTCGTGTGAGGTCAAAATCTMGGGCAGGAAAAAAATCTCCAAGACACCATTCGCCAAAYGCGATWGTTGAAGAACAAATTAAGTCTATTGTGAATGAAAATAGAGTTGAATCATCCAATGATGACTTGATTTCACGAGAAATAAGCTCGTTTTCCCGTAACCACCCCATGAGGCGGTCAGCAAGAGATATCATTGCCGAAATAGAAGCACGTAACAACACAACAAGTAACGTTACACAAAGAAAACATTCYTTGGTAAAACATGGCGATCGAAGCCTTAAAGAAATCACTGCTAAAACAGATAACCAGACGAGTTTTAAACGAACGACAAGTGACTCTAGTTTGTATAGCACCCCTCCAACCAAGCACTCCAAGACTGAAGACTTATGGAAGGAAATAGAAAGGTGAATGATAACATTATATTTAGTACTATGCTTGAAAGCTTACTGCTTGTTATAAAAATGTCTGACATAATACTCAACTGTGGTATTAATTTCCACTCTAAATATTGTGTCAACAATCGATGGCGTTTGGAGAACAAGTGGTCCTTTAGACGTTTTTACTCATAATAGTTGCCAGTTATTTCGCGAGTAGATCTTTTCCATCGATATACAAAGTRTCCTTATCATCAGTAATAGTCAGTGATGTAATATAGCTATAAGTATGTATATAGTATTGGAATCCTTAAAAATGCGCGGTAAATTATTTAATGAAACTGACACAAAACTGGAATACAATTTTTGCGATCCTAAATGTCATGAAAAAAAGAATCAGTAAATGTGATGTCTCCTAGACAACCTACGTTGAAGTCTGGAACGGAATACAATTTACCATGAGCTACAGGCTTCGTTGCATCACAGCGTTGCTTGGATATGCCAATAAATGCATTGATTTTTCCTTCGSGTCATCTTTAAAGAAGAAATGAAAACAATACTCATRGTTATTGATGATTTTGAGAGGTACCTAACAGAGAGATGCAGTGATTTTGTTTGATTGGAGACTGGTTTTCCTCACTTTCACGGGAGATACTGGTACAAGCGTTTTACAACAATGTAATGATTTATTTTCAGTATGTCTCCATGCGCTAAAGGAGCAGTACCAGCGCTTTCTACAATGAATCCAGACTATCAAAAAGAGAATCATTCTTCTGCAGCCCACAGTAATCTATCATCAGCTATGCGTATTGCGGGACTGATGGCCATCGCAACACCGCTGCTCGCTAGTGATTGCAGGCAACATGGAACCAAAGACCTTCCATGGGTAAGATGAAACGAWTGWATKRCTGATTGAATGAATGAGTAAACGAAATGATGCAAAACAAACTGCGAAATAGATAATGCGTAGGTATTAGTCTGTTAAAAGTCCTTTTACATTGACTGTGTTATGTTTTTAGTATTCCAGAAACACCGGTCGCGTCAAAGAAACAATCAATAAATATGATAGTTTGACATCACGACGTCTCGGTTTGACRAAGAATGSCACTCCTTTGAGAGCTCCCAATGACAGGTGGGTTTAAGCCCCTTGATCTACTGTTTATCATATTATTAGTATTCATTTATTGTATCATGATTGAATAATGCGCTTAACATTTTTGCACCGTGAGCAAATTGTCATTGTTGATATCATTGCKCGTGGCAGTCAACTCTTACTATTAATAATTTTAAACTCCCTAGAGAATATTGTTTATATCTACGGTGAGCAACAGGGATTCTKCGTAAAATCTTCAAGCTAACGTGCGTAATACGTGGTAATTCACTTGTAAATATTTTCACTGATTTCAGGGTTGATAGTGCAGACAGAAAACCAACATTGGTGGAAATTGCACGTCGAGTCATGCTACAGAATAAAAGTGGTGAAGAAGATGGATCTGCATCTTGGCATCCGACTGCTCTAGCTGTCGTTGAAGGAAAGACGAGCCCTAGCACCATAAACAACCAAGACAGGTCACGTGAGAAGGAGATGGAAAAGGTTCATTTCAGTTTATTCTGTTTTATATTTTTGTCGATACCTTGTTTTATGTGTAGACAAGTGTATAGGATTCTTGGTCTCAAGGCCATTGTGGCTGCTCTTTTTGGAGCCATCATCGGCTTTGCTTTTTGTCAATACCTTCTCTGCCATTGCAATAATTAGTTACTGATTCTATCTTCTAATGAATAATGCATATTAACGAATATTGAATTAAATAACAGTAATGTTAATAGTAATATATTTATAGTAATGTTTCTAATATATAACATGCAGTATATTTTCTATTGGTACTTTGATAAACAAATGTAACTAAAAGGTGCCATCATGCTTTGCGAACTGATAAGTGGTGTCATGAATAAACAATATATTACAATTGGACGTTGTTTTCGTCTTCAAATCAATAAGCATGCGCTTTAAACGTCAAACATACGTGAAGATTATTTAGGTTAGACACCAATTCACTTTATACTWTACTCATGATGGACATTTGGTTTGCTTAAGAAGGCTCAGTTCATTTAGATTCCAACTTTTTTATCCTGTAGCTTCGCCTGTTTGGTAAAAAACTGTCATCGTTGGATCAAGAATCGACTGATAGCCCGGTGAAAAAAGATTTCACATCTCCTATTTACCGAAAAACGTTTATTGCCGACCTCGCTAAAGCGGAAGATACTGCTGACCTGAATGATAGCAGTACTACTGATCTAAACAAAAAGGATGACGCAAATCTCAAGAATAACGTTGGCCATGAGCCAAAGGATGAAAAGCACGGGACGCCTCGGAAACAACTGAGTATTTCGGTAATGATTACACTTTTAAACTAATGCTAAAGCAAGGGAAACTGGTTTCTATTTATTTGGATAAAGTTATGATGTAGTATTTTCAGTACATAGAGTATCTAAAATATCTCTCGTAACATCAAGTTAAAGGTGACATTRTTCACATTCAAATAATATTTCGTACGCTGCACTGCTGTGTCATAACTGTTTGAATTCCCAAAGAGAAAAACATTTATTCTAATCAAGATGTTTGATTGTTTTCAGCGTGACTATCAGTCCCAGGAGGGAGCATGTCTCAAATCACCCGCCCTGGCCTTGAAAGACATGGAGCGTCTTMTGTTGAACCTGACAGAAACAGTATCGCAAGAACGAGCAGAAACATCMATTAAGTTTCTCATTAGTATGTTCAGGTACTTGTCATATTCCTTGTTATTATCTGTACTGATACCCATGGTTAACGATATGTTTGTTTGATAGGAGAATACAACGAAATCCTAAAGAAGATAAATTTCGCCGAATTTTCAAAAGCCGCGTGAAGTTTAAAAAGTATGTCTGGACGGTCCGTAACGCTAAGATGTTTCTTTTCGCAAGTGGATGGATTGAGGTACGTTAGTCTTTCCCTATATATATTTGCAAAGGCCACAGTTATCTGTTTGGATTCAGTTTGATTCCCACGGCTTTGATAAGCGAGATAAAAACTCTTGATGTCGAACCTGTGAGCTGCGGACTTATGAATTGTCGATAATTTGTTGACGTTTTTTGTGTTAACTGAAATCAGAGTGTCTATATTTCCTCTTTGAAAATGTAGTGGCAGGTGCAGTAAGGTCTGTCCACATAACTTGAATTTCTACAAAATTGTATCGTAGCATCAAAACTATAGTCAGGCTAGTAACGAGGTCTT